CCCCAGCCCCATCCCCCCCTCATTGGGGAGGCCACAATCTGCCCCCCCTGCCATGCCCCCCCCCCCTTCTCCTCCACAGACTTACCTGCAGGGACCTGCTCTCCATGCTGCCCAGCTGTGCTCCTGCCCATGTGCATGCATATGCACACAGCACACCTTGCGTCCTGCTTTCAGCAACCCCAAGCAGGAATGCTGCCCGCCTACAAGGGGAAACCTGCCATTTCCCTAGGGAACCCAGGCATCCATTAATTATATTTATCAGTGGACATTATCTGCTACACTGGCCAAAAAGAACGGATAGCTGATAATGTCAATTTCCCTTTTGTTGGAGCCAATCTGATATGCGATCGATATATTGGTGCACCTCTACTAAAAACCCTCACTAACATTACTGTTGTTTTGTTTTACCCAGAAGGGAATGACATTTAGGTTCTTCTGGAACTTGCTCCCTTTTACCGTAGCATGCTCAAGCCATCACACAGGGTCCAGCCAGCAGCACCTGAACACACAGTTCTAGCATATGACATTGGGAAAGAGGCAATCTTTCACTGAACATATTTACCTGAATACAAGATGAGGGTTTTTTTTGCCCCTTATCAGCATAGGGAAAAAAGCCCCTTGTCTTCCATTCACATACAAGGAAACCTCATTAAATATACTGTCTATCATTAAACAGCTGCCAAAAATCATGGAAACTCAACTATGAAGTCGATCAAATATAGCCAACACTAAGCATGACTTAAGACACATGGCCCATATTGGGGAAACATTGTCATGGGATGGGGTCCTAAAGGGTGGCCATGTTACCCCTAGGGCCCCTCAACTGTGCCAATACAGCCTGCTGGGCACCCTCTATTCTCGCCCGCCACGTCTTGATGTCATTGTAATGAGAAGGGAAGCTGCCTTTAAGCCTACTTGCGCACAGTCCGGATGGACTTCTTTGAACCCTGTGGGTCCCGTTTCAAAATAGATGTCCCGGGGACAACCCAGTCTTATGGGCTATATGCGTGGCTCCAACCGCCCCTTTACCAGGCCCCAAGCCTTGAAGGTGGTACTGGCATCGTCTCACCTAGGCCTCAATATAATTCGGCCTCTTGTCCTCGCTGGGCTCTCCACAGCCCAAAATGCTGTGCCCTCTGGCAGCGGGGTCTGTGCACCCCAAATACTGTGCCCTCTCTGGTGCCAGGGTCCCCATGCTGCAGTGGGCCCCCAATGAGGCTGCCTCCTTCCTCAAATAGCCTCACCCAAACCACCAGTTGTTATGAAACAGCAAACAAAACATAAGCCCCTGGGCTGTAACATAACATTTACTGCAGAAGGTGTGCTCTGCCCCTTTACATTACTAGGAGCAGAACTTAGTCAGGTCTCTTCTCTTCACTCACTGTAAGAGGGCTCCTTCCCCCTTGGCCGCTGGCAGAGAACTGAACCCCCTAGTCCCCGTCCTGAGGTTTATATGGGCCCAGGACCCTGCCCCTTCCGGCCAGCTGCAGGCTAGTTTCCTCATTAGCTAGCTGCCATGGCAACCTGTACCTGGGCTCCTGTCTGGCTCTTTGGGCTCTCCCCATGCAGTTTCTGCTCTTCTAGGAGCAGGGACCTAAGTGCCCTGCGACAAACATGATCATAGGAACCTTTTTTTTTTTTTTAAATAAATTTTTCGTGATCCAAGCCAAATCAAGTCTGGTGAGGTCCCTTCCAACCTTAGCATCTATGAATCTATGAAGTGCAAATGCATGAGTCAGTCCAGAATCATAAGTGGCACTACAACTGGCAAATATCCTCCATTCCCACGAGGGGCTTCAGATATTTCCAAAGTCATTTGGCAGGCATCCTACATGCAGGCCCAAGTCCAGAGGTTTGGGGTTCAGATGCCCCCAAGTTTTGCCTGCACTCAGCCATATGGCCACAGGAGCAAGCTAGGGAAGAGCCTTCCATTTCCATAAAGTGGGCTTTAAGCCCCAACACCCTGGCAAGTACTAAACCACGCCAGAAGAAGTTATCCCCAGGAACACTTAAGGAAAACTGCCTTCATAGACCCAGATACATGACCTACCAGAAGAATAGATAAGTGCAGCCAATCTGAATAAGATAAATTCCCATTGAGCATAGTCCCCTTCAGCACTGATTCTTCTTCTACTCATGGTTAACCACTACACTGAATACCTTTAGACTTCCTCTTCACTCTCGCAACCAATCTGCACCTTTCTTTCCCATTTCTTTTTCTTCATCAACTTTAAATGTCTGGCAAATATCACCTCTCAGCTTGTTGCATACGATTAGTGTGGACCTGCCCTCCATGAGCTGAAGCAGAACCAGGCTGCCCTACATCTCATCTGTACATGAATTTTTGGAGGATCCTAAAACTCGTGACAAGAACACCCAGTTCCAGTCATAAGTGGGGGGCTAATTAGCGCACACATCCTTTGTGGGAGACATCTGGAGTATACACACACACAGAGTAGTGCTGAGCTCTGGGGTCAGCACCAATTGAAATGCTGTTGACTCTGCTGGGGCCCAGCACAATGAACTACATAGTAAATCAGGAGTCTTTTGGCTTTGGACTATCATGCATAGTTTGTATTATACATAAGTAAGTGCAAAAGGTCTCCTTAAAAGTGTGTTTATGGAGTACCTGTGCAAACACCTGAAGCAGTTTCAAAAAGAGGTAAATATTTCAATTCTGGATGAAGCCTACAACTATGTTTATCAAGGTCAGTTTTTTTAAATTTGTCTCACACTTCCATGTGCTCAGGGAGAGGAGGGTCTGACAGTAAGGAGAGGGGGAAGAAGTTGGATGGAGTCAGAGGGTGTGGTTGTTACCTTAACCCTAGATTTATTTTCCCTGCTGTAGCAGTGGGGAGGGGACAAATTTAAGACAAACCTCTAATTGATTAGATTCTATACCTGGAAAATTATAAGAAATTCATAATTTTTCCTATATAGCATCTAATTATTTGGGTTGTCTTGTAGTCAAGTAAATATGGTAAGTGGTGTTGCACTCCCCATTTCACAGGTGAGTTTCCCAATCACATCTACTATAGAAAGGTCACCTCAGTTCCCCTACCAGACTTCAAGTGGCTTTCCAATGAGACCAACTAAAGTGAAAACAGATACAACACATCAAAAAAGGGAAACAGAAGAGAGGGAGATTAATTCAGGAAGGAATGGACTGGTTTTCAGTATTGTGGAAGGATTAAGATGGGGGGAGGGGACAACAAGGGTGCAGTCTACTGTCAGAAAATTAATGATTTAAAATATGCACTGAACTTTTGCATATACTGCTCCCTTATCCAGCCAACCTATGAACAGCACCTTTCCCTGTCTTCCATAGCACAAGCAAAGAACAGTCATTACAGCTTTTTTAAAATCTGTTTTTGAGCTTTATCTGTTTTCTTTCCTTAACCTTTTCAAATTCTCTTGTACAACTTTTTTTGGGGTTTTTTTGTTTTGCTTCTCCTTATCAGGGTTGCAAAAGTGCCCATTTACAGGTGGCCCTTTAAAAAAAAACAAACAAACCCAAAAACAAAACAACCCAAACATACTTATCCATCTATAAATTCCATAAAAGTAATTGAGCCTCCATAAAAATAAAACCTCAACTCATTTCCAGATTCACCACCATGTATTTACATTGGACAGAGAGAGTGGAGCAGTGATACCTGGTGTCTAAGCAGGAGTGCTATTCAGCACCTGTCTGGCAGGGCTGTATGGCCCACTAAGGCTCTGTAGTTTCTTGCAGTTAGGATGAAATCAGGGGCACTGGGGGTGGGCTGGGAGGGCAGCATGGTCTGGGGTGCAGTCAGGGGTGTCAGCATATGGGTGAGCATCGTACCCCTGAGCTGGGGACAGCAGGGTGTAAAAATATTGCTACAGCCTTACAGTGATCCCAACCCACCTTTTTCTTCCTAACAGTAAAAAAAAATGTAAATAAAAAGGTTTATTCATCAGTAAACCGCTTGCAGTTTGTCAGTAAAAAACAAACAAACAAACAAAACTGTTTGGGCTGGCAATCTTGAGCCTCATCCACTGACAATAAGGGCAGAGCCCTCAGTGACCTTGAAAGATACAAGACCAGGGACATTTTCATTAACAACTAAAGTTCCCCTAACATGCATCTACATTTCTTTTGCTGCTTCTTGGTTTCCCATCAAACTTTTGTTTCTTCCTCCAACAATTACCCCTCCCCGTTTCCTTCTCACCCTGCACACTCCCACTACTGATTCACTTTGCTGTCATACCACAGGGTCATATTGTTGTGATGATGCCTGGGATCCAAGACCACGTGTTATGGGACTCTGCTTTACAGAATGAAGCCTTAAAAGAAAAGAGGTGCAGCACTGACGGGGACTCAGGAAGCATAAGCTAGACAGAGATGCCCAGCCCAGATCTTGTTCATGCTCATCATTCTTGGTCTATACGTATAGTTATTAGGACACTCATGATCACTGAGACCTCAGGTCAGCCTGGTGTCACCTGCTGGAAATGTATGTAATTAGATTAGACTAATTAGATTAACACTTACTGGTTACTGGCGTTGCATTGTTAGGGGTGTCAGCTCTCAGGTACTGTGTTGTCTGTGTGGAGGGCTGGGATAAGCCTTGTGAGCTACTGCTGTCACTAATGCTGTTTTAAAAACAAAAATTAACAGAATATTTAGGTTTGTTTCCATACCACAACATTCTTAAATTCCCTTCAAATCCCAGCACATAAAAAGGTTAAGCCTTGGGGGGAAAAAAATATCTGTAGCACCCAGGCAAAAAAGTGATGATGCGACTTCGGGGCATTTTCTGCAGATCAACTTCTCAGCCTACAATGCTACTCTTACTTCTCTGAAACACTTAAGGTTTTTCATGTATTTGGCTTATGTACTTTGTTTCATTTCCCAGGTTTTTGATCCCTATTAAAATATAAAAGGAGGTACATCTGACAAGAGGTATGCTCTCTCACAATATACATGACAACATATCTCTCCAGGCAGATTCCTTTCTTATTTTATCAACAGTCTTCTGTCAAGATGGAATAATAATCATAAAAAACTGAGGGACTCACAGCAACAGCCTGAGCGTAGCACCGACATATACCAGTTATGCTTTCACACTCATTACCATTTGAACTGAAGTGCTTTTCTGCCACTATTTAAATCCGTGGGAGTCTCCGAGGCTGTCAATTGTGCCAAATCAGTTTTCAATTATCAACAGCTCAGCAGGATCCTCACTTAGGGTGACCATAACAAAATTTGGGACATGCAGGACCCTGCCCCCTCCCAAGTCAGCAGTACCACTGCAGGCAGAGGCAAAGGCAGAGCAGCATGGTACACCAGGCAGGCAGACAGTGGTAGTGCCTGCTTGTTTACCTGGTGCACTGCACCACTCTGCCTCCCCACTGGACTGTGTCCCACACCTGGGATGCTTGTTTTAATCTTCACCAATCGGTTGGAACCAGCCTAGAAAATTGGGGACTGTCCCGGACAAACTAGGAAGTATGGTCACCCTGTCTATCCTGGTAAATCACAAGGTCCCCTAACGACAAACTTAAGTGCTTTTATTAAATTACCATTAAAAAAAAAAAAAAGGTACTACAGATTTCATAGCTTATACCAGGGCTCAGCAATGTTTTCCAGGGGGATGGAGGGAAATGGGGAGGGCAAAAATCACCCAGCATAGGGTTGGAGGGATTAGGTAGGACTCAGCTACTGCCTGCTACTCAGCTGTGATGTAGTGCGGTGAACCCACCCCCGCAATAGCCTATGCCACCCAACTGCAGCATGGCATGGGCAGTGATTGTCCTCTGACAGAGCCCTGGGTGGCTGATTGCCATGCAGCGCAGGGAGAGCCCCCCTGCCACTGAATGCTGCCAAAGGCAGAGCTCCACAGGCTGAATCCAAAGGCTCCAGGGGCTGCTGGCTGCCAACCCCTGGCTTATACACTTTCTAGGAACTAACTCAAAAAAATTTTAAATTGACAGAAAGCAAGTGTAGACGGAATTTAAATTGTAATGCAAAGCTTTTTATCCTTTTTTTCAGGCAATTTTCTAGACAATATAGTATTTGCCCAGGAATAAAGCCACTGGAATAAAGAAAAGAATGAAAGTGTCTATGAAAGGACTGTAGGTGCCAATGTTTCTCTTTGGAAGGCCTTAAAGGATGTGCATTTTATTCTTATATTCATCACAATTAGCTTCAATGGAAAAACAGAACCAAAAAATCAAAATAAGAAAAAAAAAAAGTGACCTCATTTTTTTCAATGACCTGGTACCAAGTAATGGCCTCAAGTACTTATTACTAGGGAGCTACCCAAATTGAGGAGGAGCCAAAAACAAATGGTGGGAAGAGAAGGAAAAAGAAATCCAACAATTTCATAGTTGGTAGGGTCAGAAGGGACCCGAGTAGATCATCTAGTCCGACCCCCTGCCATGGCAGGAAGAGTACTGGGGTCAAACGACCCCAGCAAG